AGGAAGAAGAAAACAAGGAAAGGGAAAAAAAAAAACCACCCCCCATCGTTTGCAGCGAAAGAAGTCAACCAAGTGACATCATTTGGGTCCCCGCCCGACCCTTTGGTTACGTCGGTCGTTGGACCGAATCAATTCCATCCGATCTACAATTCTGATCTCATTTTCTCCAGATTATCGTCAGGAACTTCTTCCCCCATCTCCCGACCCAACAATCGCTTTCTTTAGCTTTCCAACATCTTATTGCGGGCCTTCCGCTTTGGTTTCCGCCTGTCGCCCCAAAAGTCGCTCGTTGTTTTGCTCTGCATCCGGCCTCAATATTGCCTCTTCCGGTCTTTTCCTTCCCCTCCCCCGTCACCATTGGGAGTGATTGATGTGTCGTGCTTGAGTTGCTAGTATCATTGTAACCCTCCACGTACTCTACGACCTCTCTTTCGCTTTCTATTCACTTGGAGATTGACATTGAAATCCTCCTGCTCCCACCTCCCCCTGTAACGTCGGTGGTGGGTTACGTTACCCTAACAATCGCTATACTTCCTGGGGGGGTTTGACATTGTCTTGCCTTTTTTGGTCGCGGCCTTGTCTCACAAATTCTTTATTCTCTTATCTTTATTATCACCCTCACTCCGATCGTTGCCTGTGCACGTCGTCGTCTTCTTTCTCTCCTCCTACAAGCTCAGTCAGTCGCTTCTCATGGCATCTTGACGGTCTACTGTACGTTCCACCTCCCCTCTCCCCCGTCTCTTTAGCGCTTGCTTCTTATTTGTTTTCCTGCGGTCTTCTCCACCTTCGTACTTTTCACTAGTTGAATCCTAGTTTCGATCGCCTTGGCTTGTCTTGCGGCATGCCATTCCACTCGTCTCGTCGGATGATAATAACTAACTAATTCCCTGTCTTTTCCCGGGGGTTCTGATTTAGTGAGAAACGGCACTGAGGTCGTCGATGTGATAATTCCTCTTTCTCCCAACGCCACTCTTTTAGCTTGCTTCACTTCCGTGTCTCCTTCTTTTACCCCGTAGTTTGCCTTCCCTCTCCCCGTCATGGCTGACAGCAGTCTGGGGAAGAAAGAGCGGAGGAAAAGTCTGAGTGTGTTTAGCCCGTCGACGACCTCGTCCCTATCCGGCCTCGGTACCCATGATCGATCTCCATCCGACGATGTCCAAGTGGTGAAGAAGAAACGACGCAATTCGGGATTCTTTGGTGGTCGGAACCCTAGTCCGCCCGGACCAAGCCATGGCCTTCGGCGCTCCGGAACGGCCGATACGAACGCTACTGCATACGCCGCGGCGATGCCCAATGGGGCTTTCGAGGCGTCTCGTCCCCGACGGAAGTCGATACAAAAGAAACGGGCCTCCGTCTTTGGATCTCTTCGATCATTTCACTCGTTCGAGGACGATGACCGGTCGCTAGGCCGCTCGAAAACTTCGCCATCTATGGACGATGACGAGGCCTCCGATTCTCGACAAGGCATTGGATCTATAATCTTACATCATGGGGAGATCCAAACCACCGGCGGCATGTGGAGGAAAAAGAGCCAGTATCTCGTCCTGACCGATACCCACCTCGTCCGGCTGAAAAGCCAAACTAAAGCAGCGGACATGTTTCCCTCAATCCCGCCGTCCTATGCCCGGTCCGGTCCGAGCAATCGCCAGTCCATAACCTCGATCAGTTCATTGGGGGATCCACAACTCTCCACTACAAGCGATTCGGCTGCGGGAATCCCGCTGAATAGCATTATCGCCGTGTACATGTTGGATGATGGGAAACCCTCCTCCACGGTGGAGGTGGCATACCTAGACGAGCGGGCTCACAAAGCAGCCTTCATCCAAATGCAGACGCCTGATCTGCAGGAACTCAACCTGTGGATGGTTGGAATTCGTTCTGCAGCCGAACTAATTCGACAGGGCAACCCTCTGCCTTTTGACCAGCGATCGATTGAATATGTCGTAAGGATGCTCGAGTACGAAAGAGACTATGATCCGGAGACCTTTCGCATTTTTCGTGTCATTCAGATGGCTTGCAGCAAGTCGCAGGCGCGGACATCCTCAGAAGATCTTACCAAGCTATCCCCCACCGGATGCTATCTTGCCCTCGGTTCACATAAGCTCCATCTAATTCCTCTCCAAAAGGTCTCCAACCGCGGCTCAGCCGTGTCCTTAAGCGACCTAGACAACGCAACATCGTTCGGACTGATGAATTTGACCTGCTTGTCCATGGAGTACGGAGATGATAGTCTGCACCTGACCTTTCGAATACCCCTATGTAAGCCTTTCTCGGTCTTCCTAGCGTCTGTCCACTCGCTCGAGGTCGCCTTTTGGATACGGCAACAAACGGAATTTTTGCGGCCTCTCTGGGTCAGACAACCCTATGATTTCATCGTGCCTCGCGATCTGGGTAACGAATCTAACTTCCCTCCGGTGGATCTAAATGAGGATTATGGTTGCTTTGACCGAACACTAGTTGCCTACTCGGCCAGCTATGATATCGATACCTCCAACATTCGTTATACGATTGATGTGCAATGTGATGACGCTCCGTGCTTCAAGCTTCTACCGCCCGCCTCACCATCACGCCGCAAGTACACAGCCTTGGAACTGGTTGCAGTATTGCGAGCACTGCGGTACAATGAATCGTTCCGGTCTATCTCATTCAGCGGCGTCAGCTTGGATGCACTTCAAGGTCTTCGTGACTACCATGGCCTGGATAAAGATATGCTTCTCAGCCGTGCAGGCGCTCCAATTCACATTACAGGTCAAGAGAGTCTCTCGGTTCTGTCCCAGGAGATCCGTGCCCTAACGCTGAAGAGCAACTGGCTTCGGCGCTTGGACTTCTCTAACACTCTAAGCCGAACCCCCAAGTCCGACAACGAAAGCCATGATCCGGGTTGCGGCATACCAGAGGCGATCTTTCCGATATGTCGCCGGGAGCTGACAAGTGTTGATTGGGTTGTGCTGAACGGCATCAAGCTAGGGGACTCGGATCTCGATTACCTCGTAGACGCAGCTTCCCAAGGAGCAAGTCAGATGCGAGCGTTAGAGGTAGGCAATTGCGGCTTATCGGTTCACGACCTCGACCTGTTACTTTCCACCACCGTTGCTCAGGCTCACACGCTGGAAGCAATCAATATTTCAGGCGTGCAGGGCCGACTGAGCCCTGATATCCTTCAACAGTATCTTGGCTACTTTAAACGGGTCAAGAAACTTGACTTATCACGTATCTCCAGGACGTCGGGGTCCGATCCGTTGATAACTGCGGAGACCTTGATCAACTGGCATCTTGAGGAGCTCTCATTGAGTCGGACCAAAGTAAACCGGGAGACGGTGGATGCAATTGCTACCTACCTGGCCAGTGATCGATCGCGAGGGTTGCGTGTGCTTCGTCTTGACCAATGTGGGCTAACAGGGCAAGACGTGGCTATCCTTTTACATTCATCGGTGGCTTCAGATTGTTCTCGCGACCTGCATTTACACGTTAATGAGAACCGACTGGACTTAGGGTGCTCGTTTCTCTTCGACGCACTCGCAAAAAGCAAGTCGCCGCCTCATCTATCTATGCGAATGATCGACTTCAAAAAGGAAGAGCAGTTTCGAGACTTAGTCGAGGCTTTGCGCAAAAACCGATCCCTGAAGTATCTTGATATCTCGAAAGCATCCCTGCCGTACGATGCAGGACCGGAAACGTGCAGAGCATTGCAGTTAATGTTCGAAGAGAATGAGACGTTGGAAGACTTGGATATCAGTGGAGAAAGTGCCCACCTAGATGTGGCGAGATTTGGCATTGGTCTCAATCTAGCACTGACTGGTCTGAAGAAGAACAGGTCCTTGAAAGTGCTGAGAATCGAACACCAAAAACTGGGGTTACAGGGCGCAAATACACTGGCCTCCGTACTGGAGGAGAATGACTGTCTTCGTGAGGTCTATTGTGAAAACAACGACATCAACTTACAGTCGTTCACCGTTCTAGTTAACGGCCTGCAGCGGAACAAGTCTCTATTGAGTCTATCATACATGGACCGCGATAGGATTCACTCACTTGACAAGGTGCGCCGCGAGGTTGAAAGCGTCAAGCGTGATATGGGTGTCGCGCAGAGTTCCACTACGAGTACTATCCGTCGATCACTGAACGCGGCAAAACATGCGACAGTGGGACATAAATCAAGTAAACACTCGCATGCGTCGGGCCACCTTCGCTCCGGGGTCTCTATATCCAACAATCTGGCAGCTGCCGAAACCTCACCTTTCCTACACCACGACATTGAAGTGATCCTGCAATCGCTGAATCTGAAATGGGACGCGGAGGTTTCTCGCCTACGTCGTTATCTATTCCGGAACTTCAACGTGGCCAATGGAATTGAGGTTGAAACTGCTGCGCTTGACGGCGATGATGCTGCCAGCGACGGGCGCCCCAACACGGCAGCGAGCCTCGCGACGATGCTGGACAACCTGAAATTCGACGTAACAGTATCTGAACAGGAAATTCAGCCAAGGCCGCAAACAAATACACAACCGTCGCCAAAGGCAAGCCAGCCCAACGAAGCAAGCCATCTAGACATTTTCCGAAGTCTCGACACGGAAACCAACATACAAATTGAGCCCAGAATGCGCCCACAGACAGCTCCTTTCTCTGTTGAGTATGCACCTCAGATTTTACCGTCGGATTACGCCAGTTCTAGTGGGCCTTCGTCACGGCTAGCAGTGCCGGTTCCTTCTATGCCATCCGTCATCAGTAAATCCAGCAGTGTTCGCAGTGCCCGCAGCTCCAGTACCGTTTCTACCAGTGCGGGTACAGCTGCGAGTGCCCGCAGCTCATATGGCACAACTTCGTCGACGCTAAGAGGAATTCTTTCGGGAGGCGCATCAAGAGAGCGCAGACGGACGGAAAAAATGAGGCCCGGAGCTGTTTGCGTTTCTCGTGACAGACCGCCGACGTTGCAATGGTCACCGCCCAAACTTGACCTAGGGGACTTTCGATAGTCCTGACACTCGTTCAAACCCCATTAAGAGAAAAAGGGGGTTCTTCTCCTTCGCTTATGGGACGAATCACGAAATCTGAGCCACGAGACCCATTGAAATACGTTTTCGCTAGTCGAAAGATTTACCTACTCCAACGGTCCCTATGAAATACTTCAACCTTTCTCTCTTTATCTGCCCCCCTCCCTCTACGTCTGAGTCGTCCCCTGTCTTTGGTAGCACTTCTCTCAATGGCACGTCTTGCAGCTTGAAGGATGCAAGCTGCTTGCTATCCATTCTGATTGCATGGCGTCTCTCATATTCTCCTCCCCCATCCTCAATTTACATTGACCTCGACTAGCTGGTGTTCGCTCTGGCCTGTCTCGAGTGTCTTTTTATCTTTTTCACCTTACTTTCCCCCTTGCCTCCGTCTGCCTCTGGAAAGGCCAACATCCAACCACCAAGAGACGTACTTGGATTGATATTTGCGAGTTTGGCGTATCGGTTTGACGGCGTTTACCCCTATCCTATTTAAGGGGTCAAATTCTTTAGGTGTTTTTGTGAAGTCTATCGGGAAATGCGTTGCTTTTTGAGTTCACTTGATGCCCTAATTGTTAATGTCATAGAACCTATCTTCATCGGTCTTGAAAGATTGAACCACGGGATTGAATTGGGCTATTGTTTTGGGGCTTTTGTAGTATGGTGTTAGACTGGATATATAGCGGTACTACGTATGTATGTATATATGTATATATTTTGTGAATATAGACTGATCCGATTATGTTCCTTACTTGACTGTGATTCAAGTTGATGTTGGGTTGTATATGTGTAGTGGTCTCACAAACACCCCTTGCACTTCACCAAGTATTGTCAACTGGTTGGAATCTAAGGAACCTGAGAAAAGGTCCTGATTCAAGGGTTATTGTCTCCCTCCTATCTTTATCCACAGCATCTCATTGCTACAGAAGCCAACATCAACACTACGACTAGCGTTGAACTTCTCAGTGCCACGGATTTATTACGTATATAGATTGCGCTGAATGTGAGTGGATTAGGTGTCTAAAACCCGCAAGTAAATTATATACCAACTGAAGAAAAAAACAGCCAATCGTATACACAATGCTATCTAGAACCCAGACGCAGTACCCTGGGTTGGAACATCAAACAAACGCCATACAGGAATGGTACAGGCCGAACGCCCTGGATGCAAACACTCCAATCCCACAATCATAAAACCTGGAGTGCGAGGCAATATTATACATAAGATCTTGAGAGGTATCTGTAGAATGGAGAAAGAAGTATTATAAGGTGGATGAATGAATGGGACGCATGACTGGGTCCTTGCTGATCCCCAAAGTTGGCTGATTAGGCTGCATCGTCAAGTACAACGATGCCATTCTCTTTGTCCAGCTTATTCTCTGTCTTGCGGTAGTCTCGGCCCTTTTTGCTGATCTCCCGTAGTCGCCGGATGTATACGTTGTTTGCGACGTCTTGTTCATCCTCTCCTCGGCCCGTGAGAGCCTTCTCCCGACGTTTTTGACACGCTGCATACAAGGCGCGTGCTTTTTCTCCTTTCAATACGCTTAGTTCGTACTCGACAGTCCATTGATCGTTTATTTTTAAGTCGTTAGGCCGTTCAACGATTCTACCGTTGACAAAGTTCTTAGTCACAAGAGTCATTGCAAGTAACTCGCGGCCGTTGTTAGCGGCTTTCTCTGCGACTTCATTTTCAACTTCCGAGAGGAAGGCCTCGTCAAGTGGCGCTGACGAGTCATATTCTGCTTCATAATCCTCGGGGCCAACTTCTGATGAGCTCGTCTCTTCATCAACTGACCCTTCTTGCTTATCAGAACTGCTAGACGGCTGAACCTCTTCTTTACCATCTGTGGATGGAGCGTCTTCTTCCTCGGAGGGAGCTAGGTTCAAAACACGTCGCTGATACGCATCGATTTCAGCCTGATTTCTGGTCTGAATAGAGTGGATCTCATCATCAGTGACGGGTTCCGCGAAGATGTACATGAACGGAGTTTGGGCGTCTCGGGTTTCAAAGTGAAGACGAATGGACCTTTCGGGGAACTTCGCCGTGACTTTGTCTAGAATCTTGTTCCACAATGCGAGGCTCAGACGGAACTCTGTGTCACCCAATGCCGTGTCATACTGGCCATGCAATGTTTGATCCATTTCCGGTAAGCTGACGTACTGGAATCCGAAAATACGCTCAATGTTGTGAAAGGCAACAAAGATACCATCCATACGGCCAATTCGCACCTGAAGAGAGTATTTAAGAAAAGCCGCTCGGATCATGTCGTAAAATTCGCGTTCGTAGGATTCAAATGCGCCGTAGCGGTTTTGAATTTCATAACCAAGACCACGTTCAAAGTTACGGGCGTCCATCCGAATGGAGACTACAGCCCTCGTCTTGAGATCGAACATGCCAGTTCCAGGAAGCCTAGGATCATACGCATCCAACTGAGACCTCATGAGGAAATCACCAAGCGTAGAATAGTGATAGGATTCAGGAATAGCCTGTTCCTCCTCGGCAGAGATCTTGTTCTCACTTGACCGCCTGTAGCGTTCAAAATCATCCTTCGGTAAGGTAAGGAGTTTTTCCATTGACTTTCCCAAGTTCATCAGGATATTGGCAGACTCAAACTCTTTGTCAGCGTCGATGGCGTAGACCCCATCTTGGTATCGGAGAAACATGGCTGAAGGAGCACGAAGGAGACGTGTGAAGGACCTCAGTTTATCTGGAAAGCCCTGGGACAAGGTCCGAATATCAACTCCCCTCCATGCCGAGAGGAGATAATGAAAGTGGGATAACACAGAGGTCATGCTCGAAGATGATCCTATGTACTTCTTTTTTTCCTTCACTGCTATATCCCGGAGTGTATGATCCTTGGAAGAGGTGATATAGTCCTTCAAAGCATCGAAATCGAACTCGGTGACGGGCATGATCTGACCCAAGTAGGGGTCAAAGTTGTAGACACGAGAACGGGGGTCCCGAAGATGGTAGACGCCCGGGCTGGAACAAAAGGGTAAGTTTGGGCCCACTTCTGAGACAGGCACTTGGCGTACTTACTTGAACAAAACCCTTTCAAGGCCAAAAGAGAGTCGCGGAACGGGCGCTGTTTCAACATCCAGAGCTAGTGGCAATTAGAGTGTGTTCGATGTAGCTAATTGACAAGAATACGCACGATTTAACTGCAGGTCTTTCGATTCGACCTTGCCATGCTCCTTTGCGTGTATAGAGCTCATAACGAATGACAGGTTCTTAGGGCTTTCCTGTTCTCTTACACTTGTAGCTTTCGTTGAATCCAGGTGAGAAACGATCGATTGGAGCGACGACTTGATACGAGATGTCTAACATTGTTTAGCGATACCAGCAATGCAGCGTCCATAAGTTATGCTCACCGGATCTTCTTCAGTCGCTGCAGCACGCTGTTCTTTCTGATCTGGGTGGTCTTTCGAGGCTTTCGTCTTTTGCTTCTCCTTGGCTAAAACTCTCCGAGCTTTGATCGCAGGCATCTTTCGAGCCTTTCCAGTAATTTTCTTTGGTCCCTTGCCAGTAGTACGCGGCGACTGATCCTTGGATGGCTCACCATCCTCGGTTGGCGAGGTAGTGTCATCGTCACTTTTGGTGGTGGCGGCTTCATCATCATCGCGAGCATTGGAAGTCGATTTGAGGCGATTGAGTCTCTTGTTGTGCTGCTTTGGATGTTCGCCAGGAGTCCGGCTCTTCTGGTCTTTCTGCGGTGGTGGGCTCTTTTCATCAAAGCAAAGTCAGTCTGTGTTACATACGCCATAGAGTAGGCGAGTTGTAAAGTGCGATTGGACGACGGGAGACACAAAGTAGACAGTTGAATTGAAAGACGCATGGTCCGGTGATGATCGTACCTTGTCTAGAGCCGACAAACCCTCTGAGACGACCCGAGGGGATGCGTCTTCAATGCCCGAGTTTGCGCGATATGGAGTGTTGGAGTACAGACGGAGCCTAGTGCGACCTCCGAGCCTCTGGGCTAAACAGGAGATGCAGACATGTTCGCGGAGAGGGTCTGAAACAGACCGCAAGGAAGCCCGGAACATTCAGGTCAAGTATTTCGGAGCAGCCTCAGGAGCAGTAAATACTGATATTTCTGCCAATTGATAAGAGCGGGTTGAAAAGTGTTGATGCTTGAAAGTTGAAAAGGTTGCGCAGCTTCATTACAGTTGCTCTTTTTTATTTTTCTGCCGTGCAGCTCCTGACCGCTCTGGGAGTGACGAGAAGCCCGGCGGTATGGATCATTCTGATATTAGGTCGTATGTACAGTACAGTACAGTACGATGGTGGCAGAAACATGCCATACGGTATGTATACAGTATGTATCACGTGGGCGACAATCAAAGCCATTCTGTTCGTTTTCTCTTTTGATTTCTGACACTTTTCAGTTTCTATATTCCTTGGCTAAGTGTTGAACATCGTACGTATCGAAGGGATAAGAGGTAGATGCTACTCATTCGGAGCCGAACTCTTATCGGACAAGCCCCATCTCTCCAGATTTCTTTTGGTCTAGCCTTTATACTGATAACAGAACACTCACTACACACACATGTATATGTATTCCATGTATTCATATTCTTGTACGGGAAGAGAGTGGGGGAAAAATCAAAAGAAAAGAAAAGAATTACACTCAGAATTACTCCGTAGAAGGATATATATTAAAAA